CCAGATCCCCGAATTGAAAGCCACACGCCGTCTTGCTCACTCCGGCTCGTCCTCTCATCACAAGCAGCGCCCGAGACTCCACATGGGCAGCGAACGCGACTCCGCATGTTCGCGCTACGGCGACTGCAGTTTGCTGAGCAGGAGAAGCGCGCGAAGTGCACTTTGACATGGCTTGCGCGCGTGATGGGGGAGGGGGGGGGAAGGGTGCACATACTTTCCAGAGCGCGTGCTGCAGAGCGGTGCTTTCGCTTGGACCCTGGCAGTTGCGAAACAGGAGAGACGTGGCGTTCTCTTTCTAGGGCATGTTGTCCGTGATGGCGTCGTTGGGGTGGCTGGGAAGGCCCTCATGCTGCCCAGTGGGTGCCGCCACGGGCGCTTCGTACTGATTTAGCAGTGATGGTGCAGGGGGGACCCCGTTGATCTTCGTCGACGGCGACATCTGAGGGATGCTGCTTGCAGCAGGGATGGAGGAAGATAGTAAGATGAGGGGGAGGGGGGAGGGGGAGGGAGAGGGGGAGGGGGAGGGGGAGGGGGGGGGGGGGAGGGGAGGAGGAGGGGAGGAGGAGGAGGAGGCGGAGGGAAGAAGGGAGGAGGACAAGGAGGATGAGGAAGAGGAGGAGGAGGAGGAGGGGGGAGGAGGAGGAGGAAGGAGGAGTAGGAGGACGATGAGAGAAGGAGGAGGCGGGAGGAGGAGGGAGATGGAGGGGGAGGATGAGTAGAGGAAGAGGGACCTGAATACGAGGAGGAGTGAGGAGGGGCAGGATGAGGATGAGGATGAGGAGGAGGATGAGGATGAGGATGAGTATGGGGAGGAGGAAGAAGAGGCGGAGGAGGAAGAGAAGGAGGAGGAGGAGGAGGGTAATGATGATGATGATAATGATGAGGAGGAGGAGGAGGAGGAGGATCAAACTCCTCCTTCTCCTCCCCCCCTCCCTCCTGGGAGATGGGGGATGGGAACACAGGCCACAGGCGGCCGCACCACTTATTGGAAGCACGGCCCGCAGCCCGCCTTGCACGATGTCCCCAGCCTCCGGTTCGGGGGGGAGGCCAGGCTCAGGGTTCTTCCGTGTTCCCCTCAAGGGGCTTCCCGCTGTCCCGATCCGTCCCTCCCTCCCCTCCTCCTGCCCTCCCCGTTCCAGTCCTTCTCTCTGCGCCCCATCCACCTCCCCCTCCCAACGCCTCACCCTCCTCCTCCTCTTGCTCCCCCTCCTCCTCCTCATCCTCCTCCTCATCTTGTTCCTCTTCCTCCTCCTCCTCTTATTCTTCTCCTCCTCCTCCTCCTCCTCCTCCCTCCTCCCTCCTCCGCCTTGCTGCTCCTCCTCCTCCTCTTCAAGCCTCCTCCTGCTCTTCCTCCTCCTCCTCCTCCTCCTCCTCCTCCTCCTCCTCCTCCTCCTCGTCCTCCTCTTCCCTCATTCCTCCCTTCCCGTCCCTTCCCTTCCATCCTTCCATCCCTCCCTCCCTCCCTCCCTCACTCACTCCCCCCATCTCTCATTTCCCCACTCCCTCCCGCCCTCTCCTTTCCCTCCTTGTCTTGCCCTCCCCGAAGCATCTCTGTGCGACTCAAGCTCACGCTCCTTGCCAGCATGTCAGAATCGACTGGGTCCGCGCCGACCGCCCCTCTAATTCCGCTCTCGCGGCCAACCGCTTCCCCCTCTTCAAGATCTCTCATGTTCTTCCTCCTCCTCCTCCTCCTTCTCCTTCAGTGCGCAATTCGCTTCGCTGTGGCCCAGCGCTTGCTACGACAAACTCGCGCGTGCGCCGAGTCCGAGCCAAGAGAAAGACCCTCCTCCTCCTCCTCCTTCTCCTCCTCCTCCCCTTCCCTCTCATCCTCACGAAACGCCTTCACGCCGCCCTTGAACAGTGCCGGCTTCTTGGCAACCTTCTTGGGCGCGCCCGCGCCGAGCCCGCCGAAGAGGGCGCCCATGGCCATCTGCCCTCGGGGAGCCAGGAGAGCAGCGTCAGCGGCGGCAAGCGAGGGGCACGCGAGAAGGACACGGAGTGGGGGAGAGATGGAGCCTATGCTGGGAAGAAAAGAAGATGAGGAGGGAGCAGAGGAGGAGGAGGAGAAGGAGGAGGAGGAGATGGAAGAGGAGGAGGAGGAGGAGGAGGAGGAGGAGAACAAGGAGGAGGAGAGGCGCCGGCGAGGCGGCGGCGGCGGCGGAGAGGACGAAAGAGGGGAGGGGAGGGCGGGCGGTAGGAGGGAGGGAGGGAGGGGACGGGAAGGATGAGAGGGAGGGAGGGAGGTTTGGGCAGGACAGAGAAAGGATTAGGGTCGCCAACGAGGAGGAAGAGGAAGGGGGGCGAAGGCTGGAGGGAGGGAGGGAGGGAGTGTTGAAGAAATAGGGAGGAGGAGGAAAAAGGCGAAGAGGGAGGGGATCAGCTTCTGGAATCGATTTGGTAAATCCGCCGATCCGGCGTGTGAGTTTCTGAGAGCGTGGGCTTGAGCTCGCTCAAGCTTCGCTCTGCGGAGGGGGGGGGGACCTCATTTCCGACCTAATTC